ATCTGCGTATGCTAAAATAGTGTTCTGTTCCAGAATTTCCATATTTTGTCTAGCAGGGAGAGATCTAATTACTTTTTCTAAAGCCAAATTGAAAAGTATTGGAGAAAGCGCGTCTCCCTGTCTTAGGCCAGTCCTGACTTCAAAACTTTCTGACAGTGTATTTGCAAATTTTACTCTACATTTTGTTTCGGTATTGCACTCTTTTATCAGCTGGATTAGTTTGGTTGGTATACCAAATTCCTCCAGTGCTTCCCATAGTTTTCTCCTTATAATACTGTCGTACGCCTGTTTGAAGTCCACGAAGTAAAGATGCACTTCTCTGCCATACTCATAGTACCTTTCTAACAATTGTCTGATACTAAAAATGGGATATGTTGTAGATTTCCCTCTCATAAAGCCGCTTTGGTAGTCTCCAATTATGTCGTTAGTATAGACTTCAAGCCTTCGCAGGATTGCTATCGACAGAACTTTATAGCAGGTGTCTAAAAGTGAGATTCCTCTATAGTTTGATGTTTCCATCGGGTCTCCTTTTTTATATATCGGGCAAATGATCGCTGTTTTCCAGTCGTTCGGGACTTTATCACTTACCCATATTTCTTTGATCAATAGCCAAATCTTTGATATTAATTTCGGGTTAGCTGTTTTAATTAGTTCCGCATTAATATTGTCCTCCCCCGGTGCCTTATTATTTTTTAGAGATTTAATTATCTGTGTTATTTCTTCATATTCTGGTTCTGGTAATTCTGGCTGTACCGAGTAGTTAGTGGCATGTTCTTGATATTCCTCTGGGTGTACATCCTCGTTAGTAGTACTCAGTAATTCTTTGAAATGTTTCCGGAATTCTTCAGCTATATTTGACTCCTCTGTAATCAAACAGCCATGGGCATCTTTAAATATGTGGTTTTGCTTTAAAACCCTCCTTGATAGATCTGCATTTCCCGAAAAATAGCCGTGGATTCCTTCTGTGTTCTTCTATGCTTATTATTTTTTGTTTTTCATACTCTCTCTTTACGTTTCTTATTTTCTTACTTGCAATTTTTCTGAGATCCTGATATCTTTCCACATTCTCCGGCGTTGGGTCCTGGATCATTTCCTGTCTAGCTTTACTTCGCTTTTCTGTAACGTCTCTACATTCGTCATCGAACCATGGCTTCTCTCTGGTTTGTGTTTTTTTCTTAAACAAATAGGCCGCTTTATTAACAGCTTCCTTGATGATATTCCACCCTTTTTCACTATCAGGCTCCGTATCCAGTTTATTTGATTCCAAGATATTGTTAAGATTATTATGGTAGGCAGTTATTTCTTCCTGGTTTTTTATTTTGTCCATATCTAATCGAGCATTTTTCTTTATTTCTTTTTGGTTCATATTCCATTGTCTCGACAGTTTCACTTTTAATGAACTAATAACCAGGTAATGGTCAGTGTCGCCATCCGCTCCTCTATAACTTCTTACGGAATTTATACTAGATTTAAATCTTTTTTCAATCACTACATGATCTATCTGGCTTTTGTATTGGCCACCTGGGGCAATCCAAGTATGTTTATATATATCTTTTCGTTGGAACTGCGTACTGCTTATTACCAACCCTTTATCTGTGCAGAGACTAATTAATCTCATACCATTATCGTTGCTTTCTTGGTGCAAACTTTCTTTGCCCACAATTGGTTTGAAAATATTCTCCCGCCCTACTTGAGCATTAAAATCTCCTACTACTATTTTTATGCTTTCTCTAGGAGTATTGTCAAGTACTCTATCAAGGTCATCGTAAAAAAGATCCTTTAGTTCACAATCTGCTGTTTCCGTTGGGGCATAACAATTGACGATCACTATATCAAATGTTCTCCCAGTTAATACTATGTAGCATATTAGGTCATTGATCGGTTCAAATTTCTTTACTAATCTCGACATGGATGACTTGATTACAAAACCAACCCCATTCTCGTGTTTTCCATTGTTCTTTCCGCTAAAGAACACTGTCATATTTTGGGATTTGAGATTGCCCGATCCTGGCCATCTAATCTCCTGCAAACCCACTATATCAACATTGTATCGGTTAATTTCCTTTAATACGCATTGTAAAGAACCTGGTTTATACAGAGTTCTGATATTCCATGTTCCAAATCTCAAAATTCCAGCATTTCCGGTCCGGTTTCCAATTCTGTTATCCAAATTATCAAAAGATTTCCGAGGCTTAGTGGTTTTTGGTTTCTTAACAATATTTTTTTACAAGGAAGGGTCGTTGGCCCTTCGCTTAACCCCCAACCTGGAGGACCAGACTACCCCAACCAATTAAGGTCAGGGTAGGGCTACTGCAGAGCACTTTAGGCAATGAAACATTATAAAATTTGAAATTTTGACCTATATTTTTAAATTATTTAATTTGATAAAATTAGGTGTTTTATAATTTATTTAATTAATACCTACATTGTATCTGATTTAAACAGAACTTGCCTGAGTACTAAATAATATATATTAATTTTTTGCAATTTCTTTTAGGTATAATAGTACAATGCACAGTTCTAGAGTGCCGAAGAAACTTGCCATATGTAATGACCAAGTATTCAATAGAGTTATAAAAAAAGAATTTATTGATAAAACAGACCATAAAGATGAGAATCAATTATTACAAACGGGGTAAGAATTGTATATACTTCATTGCATAATATGAAATTTAATTATACTAACCTAACTGATAAACAAATATACTTAACAATTAGTTTGACAGAAAATATAATAGAAATTGAAGCCTTTAATTGCTAGAATCTTTCTGGAGTTGCATAAAGCCAATAAAAATATGTAAAAAACCTAAAGATTTTGCTCTATACTCATATTTAGGGCTGGGAATGTAATGCCCTATAAAACCCTAAATAATGCCCTTAATAAAATCCCATAATTCCATAAAAATTCTAAATGATGAACAAAAATAATGCAGGTAAATTGTTTTTATTTTTAATAAATTGTAAAATATGAGTGATAAAAAAAATTGATTGAAATAATTTTTCTATAGGCTAAACTTCAACTTGGATTTGTTTTTTCTGAAAAAACAATAGTCGTATAAGTTTAGTCGTTAATATCTAGTCATTTATATCTCCTACTAGTATACGGTATGTAGTGCTGATAGCAAGTCGTTCTCAATGGAGCCAGGAATAAAGTTATCTGCACAACAATTTGGGACCTGCATATTCCTAAGACACTTATAATAATTATTATGTTGTTTATTCCCATTATTATTTCATTTAAAAATTGTAAACAGTTATTATCTTCTTTGTAAGTTTTGTTTTGTATTTTTGTTTTTTTCTGGAGTACATATTTTAATTATTGAAGTTGATTGAACAGATGAAAAACATGATCTAGTAGAAATGATTGGCGCTTTTATGTTATCCAAATTCTTAATATTTAAAAAACTATTATCTATTTGATCTTTTTCAATTGTACTGTAAGAGGTTGAAGTACAAGATATATTTGAAATACTCGGATTGATGTTATTTATAGAAACTTCAGAATGTGGAAAAGTATTTATCTTTACTATTATCTTTTGAAGAAGTAGTTGATTTTAAATTAAAACCAGGAAATTTATTTAAAGCACCACATTGTTTCTTTGAAAATTCTTCTTGTTTTTTTTTTTGTTTTGTTCTTTTTTTAGCACCTGAATTTTAATCTATCAAAAATAGAATAATATATTTGTAGAGTTGAAAATTCTGCACATTTGACTTTAATACAATTTTTATATTATTTACTACTTGCGTTGAAAGAAGAGATGATTAGTGATATTGATATTGCAGGACTTGCTACATTATACCCATTATTATTTCATTTAAAAATTGTAAACAGTTATTATTTTCTTTGTTAGTTTTGTTATTTTATATTATATTATACATAACTATTTTTAATAAAATTTGGAATTCCATCACTTTTGTTTAATACTCTCAAAGAATTTATAGTACTGTATACATTCATCAAAATTACCATTCATGCTACTGAGCATACTTAAAATTAGCATTAAAACTGTGTGTGTTTTTTAAAATTAAAATATTTATCAATTAAAACATATAATGTACCCTAGATAATATTCTTTTAATTAAGTTTGATTATATGACCTATATATTACGGTGTTTCTGACAAACCAATTTTAGTCATTGATTGTTTGGAGGGCTATGTTTTGTACTGCCACTAGTCGTCTCCAGTTTGCTTTGGATATTAGTGCTCCCCATGCTAGGCCGGCGTATGTGATTATGGTTTGGATGTACATAGATCGAGAGCTTTTTTTGAACTGGAATCGGACTCTGGTGGTTTAGAACAAGCCAAATTGCGCCTCGAGTGCTTCTTGCTTCTTGTGCGGTTTAAGTGACGTGACGGTTGAAAAGAAGTCCACTATCTAGGTAGACTCCAAGATATTTGACTGCGGGTTTCCAGCTGAACTCTTGGTTGTGGATTTGTAATGATGTCATGTTTTTAGGCCTTTTCTCCCGAACTTTATCGCTAGAGTTTTGTCAGTGTTTAGATTGAGCTTCCATTTTTAGGGAATGTAAATCGTGAATGAATCGTTTATGTATGATATAAACAAAATAAGCGAGAGACATAATGGGGACGCCTGCAATCGGTGATTTTGGTGATGAGAAGGCGGAGCCGTCTCGGACCGAGTATGTCCTGTTTGAAATAAATGATTATACCAGTCTGACCATCTATCGTGGTACGTGTAGCTGGAGTAGTTTTAGCAGGAATCCGTAGTGTCACACTTTGTCGAACGCTTTCTCGAAGTCCAGGAATACTGCCGCTGTTCTATCTTCTCTGTTTTTGTGTTGGCTATTTGGTTGATTACTTTCGTCAGTGGATTGGTCGTAGAGTGTTGTAGTCTGAAGGCATTTTGGTCGGGTTGGATAAAAGTAGATATGACATTTTTCGATTGGATCATTATTATTATTTCCAGGACCTTGGTCATTGAGTAGATCAATGCTATAAAGTCGGTGGTTACTTAGGTTTTTGAGATATTTGCCTGATTTCAGATCATTATAACTATGGCTGATTTCCTGGAGTAGAAAAGTATTGATATATGAGCAGCAGTTGAACATTTGGTCAACGTCAAGAGGGTATTGTCAGAGAAGTATCGGAGAGTCGTGTTGGAAATATCCTCGGATCCCGGAGCTTTGTTGCATGGTAGGCGCTTGATGATGTTATTTACTTCTTCTAGAGAGACAGGCTGGAATGGGAGTTTTGCTAATGTTTTTAGGGTCCGTATGGAGTTGGCGACTAGTAAGTTGGTGGCAGGTGTTGAATTCCATGGCCAAGTTAATGGTGAAGAGTTCGACTTTCCCTGGGGAATCAAAGACCATTTAGTGGCCATTTAGTGAGAGGTTGGAGGTCTTCTGTTGATTTAAGATTTGTTTTTTTTTTAAATTTTTGAGTCCCCAGACTTTAATTCTCCGAAGAAGGAGTCCTATTTTGAGTATCTATGAAGGTGGATGAGCCTATTTACTTTGGATTTCTGGTTGTTGAGTCTATGTTTTGTTCCTGGATTCCGAATACTTACGCGTGTAAATACGTATAATCGGTTGCTTATCTGGATGTAAATGGTTGTGTTTTCTAGGGAGTTGGTTTGAATGGGCTCTTCGTAGTGAACGAGCTTGTTGGCTATTAGGATCGCTGTGTCTCCGGTTCCTCTTAGGTCAAGTGGAGTGGGTCGATCGATTCGGTAGATGTGGTAGTTAGGGAGTTTGAATGATGTTGAGGGCTTGAGGTTGGTTTCGCTGAGTAAGATGATGTGGAGCTTAAGTTGCGTATGAAATGGATGAGTTATGATTTTTTGTTGCCCAGTCCTTGGCAATTCCAGTAGAGGATTTTTAGTTGTACATCTATATTGATTTATGAGTGAACTATGGCTGATATTGTCAACAGGATAGTGTTTTTAAAATTTGATGTAGTAGATATCTGATTTTTGCAGTTGTTTAGTATATGAATACTATACGGTGACAAAGCCTGAGCATATCCATATCTAATTTGTTGCCAGTAGATTTTATAGATGTTTGAGGAGTAGTTAGCGATGGCGTGATGTCTTTTGGGTTTGAATTCTATGCAGCGGAGGCCTTAATGTAGGTGGGACATTGATGGTAGTTGGCTGATTATTCACCGTAGCCGTTGCAGCTTTTTGGCTGTTGGTCAGGAGTTTTGTTGTGAATCTTGGTTGCATGGTCGTTGCAGCATTTCACGCATTTTGGCTGGTTCTTGCGGTTGGCTGACGAGTATCTGAAGCCTTGGCATGTGAAGCACTGGGATGGTCCAGATGTCTTGTAGGCCTCTACATGGATGCTTACGTAGAAGAGACTGGGGATGTTGAAAATGTTCTTGCCTTCCTGTGTGTTTGGGAGGCATACCATGTACATTGGGAGTTTTCTCCCTTCTTCCAGAAACTAGCACACATGAGGGATGGTGTATCCAAGAAACTTGAGCTCAGATTTCACGGAATCCCCGGTGTTGTAGCTTGGGACGCCCCTGAGCAGCACTTTGAGTTGTCGTTCTGCCGGTAGTGAGAAGGTATGAAAGGGTATGTTGGCGTTTTCCATAATGGCCTGTACTGAACGGAAGGTGTTTCTGTCTGCAGCTTGGAGCTTGATGTTGTTCTGACTGAACTAGGCTGTGAGTTTTTCTTAAGTTATAAAGCCATGATCATAGGTGCAGCCGTGGCCCAGTATGTAGGGTTCACGATTATTGGTGGGATAAGGTCCCTTAGAACGGCTTAAGGTGTTGGAGTAGATGACGTGGAGCGTGAGCTTAGGCTCGAGGTTTCTAAGGTGCTACTTGTAAACGAGTCACCGGAGATGGAACAGTTTTCTCTCGGTACTGGTGAAGGGAGTCCTTCACGTTGACGACCTTGTTGTTTTTTATTTTATGCTGTGAGAACCAGCTAGACGTTGGATCTTTTTGGGTTCTTGCGACCACCGCGGTGCGCATCCATGTTAAGTAGAAGAAAACGTATAACTGTATAAATTTAGTACTAGCGTCCTAATCAAGACTGAAAGTATCAAGATAACTGATGATGTTTGATTTCACCGGGTGTACCGGTATAGATACATATTGGATGATAGAAATCAGTGCTGATTGATCAAAAATTCTTAGTCTGACAAGGAATCATCGCACCGTTGCTTGGTTGTTGTTACTTCTTCAGTGCGCTTTTCATTCGTCATTTGGTTGAAATAAGGTTGTCGAAAACTCTCTCTTTGTTTGTGTTTCTGCCTTCTGGCCCTATGTATTTCACTCCTTTGTCACAAAGAGTATATACGTGGTCTCGATAAATACATTTTTTAAATATAAAGCGTAAGATTGTGTAACCGTTACAGTTTAAAACTGTACATTTTTTGTAAATTTAAATATGATCATTACTTTTTTATATACTCACATTTTGAATATGGAAAACTAAGAATATGAATCATATATTTATATCTTTTAAAATTATATATAACGATCCATGATGATATTTATTTTAATTGATTTACTATAATTTTATTTTTATTTATTTGTCTGTAAACTAACAATAAATGTAATGTGTATGTCATTAAATTTAAACTATAAATGTTTATTTGTTTTGATTTATTGTAGTAGGTATATGATTTTGTGTGTTTTGCTAAAATATTTGCCAAAATATAACAAAACAGTTTTAAACGCTATGCACTAAACCAATTTATTATGTGGTCTAACACATAATTACATTTAATATAAATACAATTTTATAACTAAAATTTTTTTCATATTCATAATTATCATTCTACATAATATTAATTTTGAAATGATTTTTATTTTTAGAGTTAAATGTGAATTTGAAGAAGAAATAAACACAACAGATATCGCAATAAAAACCGAAAATGATGTGTGCAACATTTTTGAGTTTGAAGGATCAATTAAAAATGAATGCCGTTCTTCGGAAGTAATTATTCAAAATAATTTGGACTCAAACTCTAACTCACTCCTCAAGAACAACTCTCAAACAAGAGATTTAAAAAAAAATAAAAGGCCTCTTACTAAATTAAGGTCATATACATGTGATATATGTGATAAAAAGTTTTCCAGAAAATTAAAATTAAGAACGCACTTAAAGACACATACAGGCATTAAACCATATAAATGTGATGTCTGTGATAACCGTTTTTCTCATGCATCAACTTTAACAAACCATAAGAGAACACATACCAAAGATAAGCCATATAAATGTGATGTCTGTCATAAAGGGTTTTCTCAATTAGGAAATGTAAAAAGGCATATGCATACACACACTGGAGATAAACCATATATATGCGATTTCTGCGGGAAAATATGGTCTACAAAATCAAATTTAGAACGGCATTTGAGGACACATACTGGAGAAAAACCATATAAATGTGATGTCTGTGATAAAGAGTTTAATCATTCAGGAAGTTTAACAAGTCATATGCGTACACACACTGGAGATAAACCATATATATGTGATGTCTGTGATAAAGGGTTTTCACAATCAGGAACCTTAAAAAGGCATATGCGTACACACACTGGAGATAAACCATATATATGTGATGTCTGCGGGAAAAGGTCTTCTACAAAATCAAATTTAAAATCGCATTTGATTACACATACTAGAGTTAAGCCATAAAACTATGATATCTGCAAAAAAACGTTTTCTTAAACAGTACAGTAAAATTGAATATACATTATGGTTTTGTTATATATTTTTTCACGTTCTTAAATGCTAAATTGAGAAACAATACAATGTTAAATATACTAATATAAATTATAATCACTATACTATTCGTGTAATTAATTTTTTTTTTTTTTACTGTATATTTATTATTTTACCACTTAATCATATTATTTTTTTTTAACATACAATAAATCATAGTAATTATTGGCTATTGCTATATAGTAATATAAACATGAACATCTTGCAACATTTTTATTGTAACATATTGGTTGAAATAAAGAAAACAAAATAATAAGTTCACGAAAAAAACGATATCATTAAATATTATATGATAATGTAATATTCACAATTTAATACCCTTGGCAAATTTTGATAAGCAAAAATAAAAATAAAAATATTTAATTTTAGGCAACAGAGAACTCATAAATTCATTATCTTGATTAATAGTTAATAAAATGGGTTTAGTGGTTTTATTAATTTTAAACCTGAACACTACATCAATAATTTGACTTGAGTGTAATATAAAGAAGATCGTTTTAACTCAATTTTAACCTTTTACAATATGTAAGTATTTTAATCATGCACATTATTTTCAATTAATTGTTTATTTTTTCATGAAATAATACATTTTATCTCAAATTTTGTAAAATTCTCCATTCTGGGTACAAGGCCATCAGGGCTTGCACAAACCCATGGCGTTTTACAATGAATAACTAGTCCCGTTTTTAGTTTCTCTACTTCATTCAACTCTTGATATTTTTCAAAAGCTACAGGCTCAGTTACTTGACCATAATTGACATAAATTCTACCAGTTTTACCTAAATTAGTTTCTTTTATAAGAGTGTTTGAAAGCTTGTTGAGACCAAAAAATATCCAATCAATGCATTTGTCAATTTTATGCTCCTTAAGTCTTAACACTTACCTAAAATATTTAAGTGCTTACAAGCTTTCCAAACACCCGAAAAATGTGAAATGATCTCTGTAAAATACGGTAAAAATATTGTGCAAGGGAGAATTTGTTGACGAAAATTTCAAAAACTGTCTGCAAAATGCCATGCAGTAAATATTTATGTGTGATGTGCAAATAGGTGGACAACGAGTGTATAATCTCCCCATAATATATGACACGGTAAAATCAGTGCGCTCTGACAGGGACATTCCCACATGAGCATGGTGTAATGACCTGTGAGAAAAAAACAATATCACTATGGACATAGAAATGTATACAACTTACCTAAGAATGGTATATTAATTGAATGTACCAATTTATATTCAACAAATAAAAATATCTATAGAAAAACAACACCCTACTTAAATGTATACTGGTGGTTTTTTTTTTATAAAATATATATAATGTGGAATTCTTCGATATATAACCTAGAAGTGCAAATCGATATTGATATTATTATTAGTATAATTACATGTAGGCTTAACCAATAATTATAAATATTAAATTAAGTATGTGTTTTAAAAAAAAAAAAATGTTTAACTTACTTCAAGAATAACTTTATATGGGTTAGATAACACAGACGTTTGTCTTATACAATTTTCCATTTATTCTAGAAGCAACATGTTTGGTTTTCTTATGTTTTATTTCTTCGACATTAAACAAATTCCCACTTTCAACTAAATGTTGTCCTTTATTGTTAGAAAATTCAAAGTTACACAACATAGATTAG